AGTAAATACTAAAAATAAACTACTACTTACTACTACAGTAAATACTAAAAATAAACTACTACTTACTACTACAGTAAATACTAAAAATAAATTACTACTTACTACTACAGTAAATACTAAAATGAACTACTACTTACTACTACAGTAAATACTAAAATAAACTACTACTTACTACTACAGTAAATACTAAAAATAAACTACTACTTACTACTACAGTAAATACTACAATAAACTACTACTTACTACTACAGTAAATACTAAAAATAAACTACTACTTACTACTACAGTAAATACTAAAAATAAACTACTACTTACTACTACAGTAAATACTAAAAATAAACTACTACTTACTACTACAGTAAATACTAAAATAAACTACTACTTATTAATATTGTGTACATAATTTCATTCCACCTCATGTACCACATGAGATAGTAATGACAATAAAGTTTACTTGAACTTGAACTTGGACTACTGTATCCCTACTTCGCAGTTTTTCACTTAATCCGGGGGGGGGGGGGGGTCCCAAACCCTCGCCATAAACAAGGGACTACTGTACCAGTTTTTTCTGATGAAACCATATAAAATTACACATCATCAACAAACTGGAGGCTGACACAATGCTTAAATTAGCCTCAACATAAAAAAATAAAGATCCATAAAAGTTAAAAGTCAATATTTAATATCTAAGCATGAAGTCGTCATCGCTCAGTCAAGTTTAAACAGTTTAATAAAGACAAAACGTTCACTGAACCCGTTTTACGGAACGAAATAAACCGCCGAGCCTGAATCAACACGAGCTGATATTTTCTTTAAACCTCGGGGGAAAGGAAGTGACTCTGTGGTGACCTTTGACCCCAGTGGGCGGCAGATCATATGAATACATGTGCACCACAAAGTCAGGTTAAGTTTAAAAACGAGGAACGTTTGGAGGGAACCAAGCGGCTCCTCTTTCCTGTCAACAGACACGTCAGCAGAGACAAACATTTCCCCGACAGCTGGAGACGAGCAGCTGAAACTGTTTTACTAAAACGATTAGTTGCTATATTTTATACATGTATCTAATGTTTGATTAGCAAAGCCAAACAAAGCAGGAAGTTTCTGCTCAGAGGAAACGCCACACAGAGTTTCAGGAAGTTATAAACGTGGTGTAGAAGAAAAGCTGACAAAACCTCATAAGTGACCCGGTAAAAACAAAAGTCCCGGTGGTTTTCTGTTTCCACACCTCCGTCGGTGTTTGGGACGCGATGGTGGAACATCCAGCGTCTACTTACACTTCAGTTTCTTTGTTGCATCTGATACAAGTGAAGGCTGCCGTCACCTGTCCTGTCCTCCGTCCCTCCTTGCTGCCTGCTCCTCGTGTCTCTCCTCTGCCGCCGTCTGACGTTCAGGCCGCACGCTCATCCAAGTGTTTGTGTTGATGCTGTGCAAGTTCATGCCTCTCAACTGAAACTCTGCTAAGCTAACGCTTCTGTACCTTGAGGAAGATCTTGGTTTTTCCCATCTGCCAGTCGTCGTCCCTGCCGAGCACGGCCTCAGCGATCCTCTGACAGGTTCCCCTCAGGTCCTCCTGATGACGAGAGAAGGTTTACAGCAGCTAACTTCATGAATAAAATAAGATTTCTGTTGGATCAAATGTTTACACAAGCTATAAACTCATACATGTGTCACTGGATGGACTGGACAAAACAAAAACACCAACATTTCTCTCAACATGTTAAGTTTGAAAATCCTGACTAAATCTGAAAAAATAAAAAAAGCTAATTTCTGTTGAAAAACTTGGAGAGTTGTCGATCGAAACCACTTCGGTTCCACACACTCCTCTACCTGTTTGTACGCTGGTTTGACTCCAGGCATCAGCACTCTGTAGCGGTCAACAAACTCCACGAACGTGTAGCGGATGGGATATCCAGCGCGTCGGATCCGAATGGTCTCCATCATCCCGGAGTACCTGAGCTGTCGCACGCACAGCTCCCGGTCAAAGAGCTGCAGGGAAACACCAAGACCAGGACTCAGAGGGAGACCTTAAACCTGTAGGTCTGAGGTTTGTGGAGGACGAGTGCAGTGAAACACAAACATCTGGCCCAGTCCTCCAAAACCAGCTCAAAATGGACTCTGAGTCTGTTAAAGCAACAAAGATGCAGCTTTACTGAACGAAGCAGCAAGAAGAAGGTGAAGGTCATCATGGCCAAACAAGAACAGATTATCAGTTTTTCAAAATAAAAAAATGTTTGGTACGATCCAAAATCTGAAAGATGGTACAGAAAAACAAGTTTTTACGTCTTACTTATTATTAGAATAAAGAAGAAGTTTGACTAAAAAGATCAACTTGAGGAAATCATATTTACTGAAAACTACAGAAATTGTTGCATTGATTTGTTAAGATTTAACATAAAATAAAATTATTTATTCAATCTTTGCTGTGTTTTGAACTAATTCAATTTACAAGTACTTTGTTGTGTATATTATAAATTAAAATAATTCACACATATTGAGGTTTAAACAGACGAGCAGCTTTACCTTCAGGGAAAACACGAAAGCCTTTCACCATCATGAAAATATTACATTTTTAATTCAGTGTACTTCTCTCTTACTGTTGACTAAGGATGCATCACAAACAATGATGAGTCCAGCTACAGGCAAGAGGTGGAACACCTGGAGAGCTGGTGCAGAGAGAATAACCTTCACATCAATGTGAAGAAGACAAAGGACATGATTGTGGACTTCAGAAGGAACAAAAACATCTACACCCCCCTGAACATAAGAGGATCTGCGGTGGAAGTGGTCTCCAGCTACAAGTACTTGGGTGTACACATGAATAACAACCTCAGCTGGAGCAACAACACCACCAGCCTGATCAAGAAAGCTCATCAGAGACTCTACTTCCTCAGACGGCTGAGGCGAGCTGGTCTGGGAAGCTCAGTCCTCACCTCCTTCTACAGGTGTGCAGTGGAGAGCATCCTGTGCTCCAGCATCAATGTGTGGCATGGAGGCTGCACAGCTGCAGAAAGAAAAGCTTTGCAGAGAGTGGTGAAGGCTGCACAGAAATCTATTGGAATCAGTCTCCCCACCATCACAGACATCTACACCTCCAGATGCAGGAAGAGGGCCACCTGCATCATGAAGGACCCCACCCACCCAGCACACACACTTTTTGCCCCACTCCCCTCAGGAAGGAGGTTAAGGAGCATTAAGTGTAGAACCACTAGACTGAGGAACAGCTTCTACCCTGAGGCTGTTAGACTCATGAATCTCTAACTAGAATAATCACTGTGAAAAACCATATCATGTTGCTGCTGATCTGTTTCATGTTGCTGCTGATCTGTTTAAATGTTGATGTGTTCATGCGTGCACATCTGCTCACAGACTCATGTTCATGTTTGTGCTGTTGTTCAATGTTTTATGTTATGAGTGCTTAGTGTATATTTAGTTGATGTTTTTCTTAGTTCATATCTTAGATGTTATTACTGTTTTTCTTACACATTTTATTGTCGGATGTAACTGGGACCCTGTGTACATAATTTCGCTCCACCACATGTACCACATGAGGTGCGAATGACAATAAAGAAACTCTGACTCTGACTCTCTCTGACTACCATGTTTTTTATAGTTTGAGGTGATTATTAAATATATATTTTAAGTGATCTATCTCTGTCTCTCTATCCCTCATTTCCTGTTTTAGTACAACTATTAGGTTAACTTTGTAAGAAGTTCTGCTTGCTTTAGGTGTGATCATCTTTTAAACCTTTACTGAAGTACTTTTTAATTTAATTCCCCCAAAAACCTGAAGTATCTTGACAAGCAGCGAGCAGATACTCACCATGGGTTTCTTGTACTCGTTGGGTTTGATGCAGCGCACAAAGAAAGGCTGACAGACGCCCAGGGTCCTCATCAGCAGCTCCAGAGATCTTTTAAACTGGCTGCTCAGAGTCGGAGAGCGTTTCCTGGTTTCCGCCCCCTAAATTCACACAAACAAAAGGAGACGGCAAAGAAAATGTCAGGGTCAGGAACAGTAAAGACTTTGTTCTTCCTGAGATCTGACACAAACCTTTTTCCTCTGTCAGGCTCTAATGATAAAACAGATGTTTTGCTGATGCAGCAGCTTCAAACTTTAAACTGGCTGCTCAAAAAAACGTGACCCGTGGAGCAAAATGAGTCAAAATGAGCACAAACAGCAGGGAAAGTGGAAATAGTCATTTTAGTTTGTGTGAAGCTGTAGAGATGAGTCAGCTCCTCTAAGTCCGAGGTGATGGTTCTCAACCCCAAGTGAGTGGACTGCCCCCTTCGGGTCCATAACGTGGTTGTTGCTTTGGTCAGTTGCGGTGAAGAAAGAGTTGAGTCAAAAGGCAAAGCTCTTGATTTAACAATCTCTTTTGTTCCAACCCACACCTGTGGTCATGGGGTTTGGATCAGGCCTGAAAGAGATCTCAGATATGAGTGGCTGAAAGGAGCTTCCACTGCAGGGTGGCCGGGCTCCGTCTTACAGAGGGTTAGGGACATCCCTCCATATAATGTGTATGATAAAACAGTTTTATTAAATAAACATGTTTCAATTATTGTAAACTTACACACGTGTCCTCGTTGCTATAGTGTTGAGAATCCCTGCCTGTCGTGCGGGAGGCCGGAGTTCGATTCCCCGACAGGAAGAAAGAAACGTGCTCGGGCGGCACGGTGGTGCAGTTGGTAGAGCTGTTGCCTCTAAACGAGAAGGTTGTCAAATCGAATCCCAGCTGGGGAGTTTACATGTTCTCTCCGTGCATGTGTGGGTTTTCTCCCACAGACCAAAAACATGCATGTTAGGCTGATTAGTAACTCTATTGTCCCTAGATGTGAGTGAGAGAGTGAATGGTTCTCGTTTGTCTCTATGTGTCCCTGTGATGGACTGGAGACCTGTCCCCAGCCTCTCACACAGTGACTGCTGGATATGGGCCCGAACCAACGAACCAACGAACCAACGAACGAACCAACGAACGAACCAACGAACGAACCAACGAACGAACCAACGAACCAACCAACCAACCAACCAACCAACCAACCAACCAACCAACCAACGAAACAACCAATGAACGAACCAACAAACCAACCAACCAACGAACCAACCAACGAACCAACAAACCAACCAACGAACCAACCAACGAACCAACCAACGAACCAACCAACGAACCAAACGAACCAACCAACGAACCAACGAACCAACCGAACCAACCAAACGAACCAACCAACCAACCAACCAACCAACCAAACGAACCAAACGAACCAACCAACCAACCAACGAACCAACCAAACGAACCAAACGAACCAACCAACGAACCAACGAACCAACCAAACGAACCAACGAACCAACCAACGAACCAACGAAGGAAGGAAGGATGGATAATTTCTGATAACATCTCTTCTGATTCATAGCTTGAATCTTCTTGACTCTTTGAAACTGTCGCTCTCGTCAACAAAACCAGTTTGCTACAAGACCATAAATTGCCAAATGTCAACAAACTACTAATTATTTTTTTAGCTTTTGAGATGGATTGTGAAAATTTTTTTGTCTTGCAATAAAAAATCATTTTAACTAGTATTAAAAACTTGTTGCTTTGTTACTCATTTTGCTGGCACAGGTCAGTTATCAGAACAGCAAAGTTATTCTATGCGTGGAAAAACGATTAATGGCGACTTAAAATCTATTTTAAAAACAAAATTGACTTTTTTTCTGTTCACAGCTCTTAAATAAGATTTCGTATATTCACTAAATAAAATTAACAAACTGTCCTTGTGATTTTTTGTTCAAATGAAAAAACAAAAAAATAATCCTGTGAAATATCATCGGAGTGGATTCATCTTAAACACAATTAATTTATCTAAAATAAAAGAAACAAAAACACATGTCAGGGTCCGAATCACATAAAAAAAACTTTGATGTTTGACTAAAATTACCAAAACGAAACTTTTCATCATTTCGAGTGTTATGTGAGGGATAGCTTAAAATTTTGCTAGAACAAGCTAGCTAATTAATGTTAGCCTAGCTTAGCGCAAACCCTAAAAAAATATGAAAGTTGACCAAGTTACGTCCATGGAACAATCTTAATAGTACACATGCCAAGTAGAAAAAAACGTGTACTTACAATTTACTTTTAAATTTAAACTTCAATTGTAGTTACATTTATTTTAAGACATAAGTCACCAATAAAACTGGAATATATTTACTGCCCCCTAGCGGTTACACCAGTTACTGCAATAGCCCTTACAGGCTGCCGTAGTATTGCCTTTAAACAGGAAGTCAATGTACAATACTGTACAGTACTGTAAAGTACAGTATTGTACTAACTGTACAGTAAGATTTAAACTAACAAAAAGGAGGAACCGATTTGTTAAAAGTTATGAAAAGTCTTTAATTTCTCTTTAGTTCAGTAGAGGTCAGAAGAAGCTTTGTACTCATTAAAAAAATGTTTTTTTTAGTTTTAATGCTTTGAGAAAAAAAATACTTCGGATGGAATTAAAAAAAAATATTGTTGGCAATTGTTTTGAAAAAACACATTAAAACTAAGTACGGTTGATGTGACAATAGAGATAATAAAATCACATTAGATGTTAGAGGACTCAGATGACAAATAAAGTCAAAAGTGATAAAGTTGTAGATTTAAAAAAAATAATGTGTTGTATTTTTATGGTCGTTTTTACCTTCAGAAGTGTTGTAGCACCTGAAGCGTTACCACACAAAAACTGGGAAGAAGCAGCACACAGAAAAGTTTTCACTCAGAAGACCCAGAAGACAAAAAAGACCAAAGTTATTCAGAAACAAATCAGCATGCAGAAGAAGAGAACATCCCAAGGAGAAACTGGATTGTTGTTGACGTCTGAATCATTTGATCACATTTACATTTTTAAATTGCAATTTAATATTTGTGTCCATGTTTCGGAGATAAAATTAAACATGATGCTTCATAAATAAGGTGATTAATGTTTCATTGAACATTTTCCCATCGCTCAACCGGCTTTTGTTCATTTTGATCAATATGCTACGTTTGCTCTGAATATTTTATCGTGCTTTCATCAAAATAAAGTTACTCAGTGATAAATAAAATGAATGCCTTCTGAGTGGTTTACAAAATAAAACTCTAAAGATTAGAGCGCGTAAGGCACACTCAGCTCAACGTCACATGACATGGCAGCACGATGGATTGGTGGTTAGCACTGTTGCCTCACAGCAATACGGTCCTGTGTTCAAGCCCCTGTTAAAACCTGGGGTCTTTCTGTTTAGAGTTTACATGTTCTCCTCGTGTGTTTCCTCCCACAGTTCAAAACATGCATGTTAGGCGTGTCGACTGAGCTGAATACAGCACCTCAGACTGAAGAAGTCTTTCGGATGAAAGACGAAACGTTTCTACATTTTTTTTTTGTTTTGTTTTGTTTTTTTGAATGTCCAGACTTATCTCAATTGTAAAGTTTATAAAATAAGGAAACCCTGACAGTAAAGTTTACTAACAAGGGAAAACTCGATTGTAAAGTTTACAAAATAAGGAAACCCTGACAGTAAAGTTTACTAACAAGGGAAAACTCAATTGTAAAGTTTACAAAATAAGGAAACCCTGACAGTAAAGTTTACTAACGTAGGAAACCCTGATGCACAATAAGAGATGAACGACAGCATGCGAACAGGAAGCTAGAAAACATTTGATCTTGTACACAAAAAGAAACATTCATAGAAACCCAAAGAAAGATTTGTTCTCTGAGCTTTCGAGTTTGTGTACGAGAGTGCCCGTTACCATAGCGACGTCCGCCTGGAAGATTTGCTTGATGAACTTATTTTTGGAGGAGTGGACGAGCTGGATGATGTCTCCATATAATGTGTCTCGGTTTTTCTCCAGGAAACCTGCAGGAAACAAACATTTCGTCAGAGTTTGCTGTTAGAAAAAGTGTTTTTGTTGTTGTTGTTTTCTTGTTTGTTCCCTGGGGTCATCTCACCCCCTGGTGATCTGCTGACGGAGCTGACCCTAAACATAAGAGTAACGCCTTGGCTGAGATATTTTAATTAATAATTGGATAACGCTTAAATAAGGAATCAGAAGAAATGTTCATATTTTTTAATCAAATATACTAAAACAAAACAACATCTCCTCTGAAGTCTCTTTCTTTGCTTTTGAAATGTAAAACAGTCACAAAAGCATAAAATCGTGCACAAAGGCTGTCACAGAAAAAAGGCAGGACGCCATCAGAACAGACTAAAAATACAAACGTTTAAAAATATATATATATATATAAATAAATAAATAAATAAAAACAAATGTGCAGCAAAAATAAAATGTTCCAAATGGCAAAACCCAAAATTTAAAACAAAGCAAAAGCATTTCAGAAATGACCCAACCCCCCAGAAAAATAACAAAATGAAGTAAATCAAAAAGTTGAATTATTGACAGGGAAGGAAATCAGACATAATTAACAACTGAAGAGAAAACATCCATCCATCCATTATCTTTACCCGTTTATTCCATTTTGGGTCACGGGGGTCGCTGGTGCCCATGTCCAGCAATCACTCTGCGAGGGGCGGGGTACACCCTGGACGGGTCGCAAGTCCATCACAGGGACACATAGAGACAAACGAGATAAACAACCATTCACTCTCTCACTCACACCTAGGGACAATTTAGAGTTACCAATCAGCCTAACATGCATGTTTTTGGTCTGTGGGAGGAAACAGGAGCACCCGGAGAAAACCCACGCATGCACGGAGAGAACATGCAAACTCCACCCAGAAGGCCCCTGGACCGGGGTTTGAACCAGGGACCTGTTTGCTGAGAGGCAGCAGCTCTACCAGTTGTGCCACCGTGCTGCCTGAAGAGAAAACAATCACTACAAAATAAAACAGGAAGTAAAACTAACAAAAATGCTTTGCAGAAAAGTGTTGAAAAAGTAATAGACTCAATAAAATCAACCCAGTTTGGAGCGACCGACAGAAAATGACACGAAGTCGAGAACCCAAAGAACTAAAACAACACAACTCCAGACCAGAACACAAAGAGCCTCGGTGCTTCGTGTGCGACGTGGTTCTGACCTTTGGTTTCGTAGAAAACAACTCCTGCGAAGTGCTGAATCCCAAACTGGGTCTCGTAGTTGTTCTTGGGCGGGATGTAGTTTGTGTTGAGTTTGTGCTGAAAGTTGAGTTTGTTCAGCATGGTGGCGTCTGTGCCCTGAGGGACGCCCACAAAGAGACAGGAAAGACAAAAAGCTCATTTAAAATCCGTCTCGTGCACTAAGTGTGTCACCAAGACGGCTGCAGAAACGAGCCGAGAACTCATCGTCACCCTGAAGGTTCAAGTGTCGAACCCGTCATCCAGATCTAGTTTTAGACACTTTATGCATCATTTTGGATCAATTCAGTTTAAATCAATTTATTTATTTAGCACCAAGTCACAGCAGAAGTCACCTCAGGGCACTGAACAGAAACATTCACATACATTATAAAAAACAATTAGTAAAAGTTATTTATCTAAGGAAGCAGCAGGTTGTGTTGAAGTTTCACTTTGTCTCAGTCTCCCATCCTGAGCAAGCACAAAGGAGACAGTGGAAAGGAAAAACTCCCTTTTAACAAGAAGAAACCTCCAGCAGAACCAGGCTCAGGACCAGCGGCCATCTGCTTTGACCGGCTGGTTGGAGAGGACAGGAAGTACAAACAAACAATCATAAAATGACAGGTCCAGGTTTACTTTCTATAGGAGGAAAGACTAAAAAAAACATGCTAAGATGAAAATAAATACAAATACTTAGAGTAAGAAAAGACAGCAGCAGCAGAGTGTGGAAATGTGATCAATTTGTTTAGCAATTTAAGCCTATAGCAGCATAACTAAGGGATAGTTCAGGAAACCCAAGCCAACTTTAGGTTTTATCAAAAAGGAAAGACTTGAGTCTAATTTTAAAACTAGACAATGTGTCAGCCTCATGGACAGAAACTGGAAGTTGGTTCCACAAGAGAGGAGCCTGACTTGAAAGCTCTGCCTCCCATTCTGCTTTTGGAAACTCTAGGAATCCAAAGTAAACCTGCAGTCTGAGAGCAAAGTGCTCTGAAAAGTATGGAACAATAAGATCTGTAATATAAGATGGAGCTAGGTTGTTGAGAGCTTTGTAGGTTAGAAGATTTTGAATTCAGGCTATTGAGTCCAGAGTTTCGTTGTTCTCAGGTGATGATCTTTGACCAGAAATGAGGAGGATCCAAACAGAGGCGGGCTGGTATTGAGCCCGTGTACCTTTGGAAACTTGCTCTCCTCGTCGATGAGCGAGATGATATTCATGGGTTTGATGGCGATCATGTCCAGAGCGTCCTGGTTGTCGGTGAACTCGATGTGCTGCCAGTTGATGTTTTCCAGGTTGTACTCCTCCTGCTCCAGCTTGAAGACGTGACGCACGAAGAACTGCTGCAGGTTCTCGTTGGCGAAATTGATGCAGAGCTGCTCGAAGCTGCAGGAAGAAAAAAAAAAATCATTTTCAACCGACGCTGAAAACAACCTGAACGAGTTTGAACATTTAAACAGATCAAACGCCTTCAGCGTGTGACCATTTAAAAAAAAAAAAAACTTTATTAATATATATTTAATACAATATTATAGAATGGATCTAAACAAAATTATTGTGAGGAAATTTTAAATAAAATTATGCCTTTATGTCCTGATGCATGCTCAATAATCCAGGTAGATAAATCTAACAAGGTTGAGTCAGGTCCTCTGGACGGATTCTTCTTTGTTGAAACGTTTTAACTTTTATTCAAAAGACTTCTTCAGTCTGAGGAGCTGCAATAAACTCAGTCTATAAATAGCACCTTCTCATAGTGGATCAACCAGTTTGTTGTTGACATCCAGAGCTAGCTGTTCACATGATAAAGGAGGACCATCAGCCTAACAATTGGTAGACATCAGGGAAACTAAACTGATGTGGCAGCAGAGAAACTTACAGAAAATAAGAGATTAAACTCAAGGAGGCACAGCGGAACCTCATCCATGGCTTTACAATCCATAATGCATCCATTAGGAACTGTAATAATAATAATAATAATAATATAATAAGCCACTTTTCCCCTGGTGTTAGATTCGGGCAGTTTGAGAACCAATTAGAGCTGATTTTTCTTGTTGTTTAAATAAGTTGCTGGGGTGTCAAATTCACAATATCACTGATTTAAAAAAACTTTAATGGACTTATAGGTTGTGAGTCTTTGGTGTAAATAAACAAAAAAATCAATATCATCAATAACAAAATACTTTTTTGATCCCAAAGGGAAATTTACTTTCAGTGCATCCCGCCAAGAAAACACCAACCATGGGGAGACAAGACGTCTGAGGCTGCAGCCACAGAGAGCAGCGCCACCTTTTTCAAATAAAGTGAATATCAGACTGAAACTCTGCATCAGTCTTGATCGGGACATCACTGCACACCACAACACTTTTTACAACTTTTATGAATACATTAAAGACTTTGTCAAGTGCAGAAAATAAGAACCCAAGCATTAAATGAGGGCTGCACCGAGTTAATAAAATATGTGCACTCCGTGTTTTTACCTGTTAACAGCAAAATTCTCAAAGCCAAATATGTCCAGCAGTCCAATGGAGCGTCTGAGAGCTTTGGGGTGTGAGGATGTCGGCTTGTAGATGGCTGCGTTGATCTTCTCCACAATCCACACAAACAAACGTCCATAAATACCCTGAATACGCATAAACAATCAATCAGTAATCTATAGGTTCTCAAGATCTGCAGGTGAGCTGATAATGAAACAACACAGACAGTGAAGGATTCAGCAACAAATAAACGTTAACAAAGCAGGATGAACGTATTGAGTGGTTAATGAGAAACTTTGTGTACCTTAACGAAAGCATCTCGTACATCCAGAGCTTGCTCCTTGCTGAGGGGGGTGGAGACCGTTTCTCCCCTGGTGATCAGCGTTCGGCTGGTTAAACAGTTCATCAGATCCTTACTGTCCACCTGAACACAAACAGGAGTCCACAGCATCACCAGCAAAATCAACACTGGCTGTGGAAGCCTCTTTCTGCCATGAGAAAACAAAACAAGCTATACATAATTTTTATATATAATTTATTTTTTATACATACATATTTATATGCATATACATATACATATATATATACATATACATATATATATATATATA